GGAGGTTGCGGTGAGCCGAGATTGTGCCATTGCACTCCAGCCTGGGTAACAAGAGCAAAACTCCATCTCAAAAAAAAAAAAAGAAGGAAAGAAATAGCAAGTTACTCTGCTTGATTTTTCAGATGTTGAAGAAGCTTGTCTCCTTGACATAAGTATCATTTGGCCATGATGTATTACTCTTTTTGTATATTTCTGGATTTGATTTGTTAATATTTTGAGTCCATTTATTGAGTGGACCAGCCAAGTGGGCAAATGGGCCCATACCGCTGATACAAGGTATTCAGAACAACTTTGCACACATTCTACAGATGCCTCACACCTTGATGAGGCCTACAATTATATTCTCAGTAAGTTTCCCCTTCTTTTTCACTTGTCCTTGGAAATGGACTGGCACCAGAGATGATATATGAATCTGTAGGGCAAAGTTTTGAAGCATGACTTTGAGTAAATGATGAGTTCCTGAAGGCAAAGGCTTTATCGCATTCATTTTTTTTCTTCTGTGTTAGGGCCTTGCTCTTTTGTCCAGGCTGGAGTGTAGTGGTGTGATCACAGCTCACTGCAACCTCAGCCTCCTGAGATCAAGCAGTTCTCTCACCTCAGCCTCTGGAGCAGGTGGGACTACAGGTGTGTTCCATCACAGCTGGCTAATTTTTATTTTTATTTTTTGTAGAGATGAGGACTCACTGTGTCGTCGTGGCTGCTCTTTAGTTCCTGGGCTCAAGTGGTCCTCCTACCTCAGCCTCCCAAAGTGCTAGGATTACAGGCATGAGCCACCGTACCTGGCCACTGTTCATATCTATCAGTGTAAATCTTGGGATTATGTTAACTAGTATTACAGAAACCCCAAATGATGGTGGCTTATACAAAACGAAAGTTTATTCTGTCTCAGGCCTGGTCTACTCTTACCCATAAACACCCTTGTGGACCCAGGCTGCTCCTAGCTCAGTATCTGCCAACTCAAGGATGTAACCCTCCTTATTCTCGTGGTCTAGGTGGGCTGCACCTGCATTCCAGCAGGAGCAGAGTTGAGGAAGGGACAGTGAAAAAGAGAAGCAACACAGAGTGCACGCTAGCTGCCCTTTCAGGAAGGTGCCTAGAAGCTGATGGGAGAGACTTCTGCATGCTCACACCACTGACTAGAACTTGGTCTTGTGGTCACAGCAAGGTGACGGTTTGGAGGCAAGAGCTGTGGAGAATAAAGAATCTGTTCACTTTCTATTCGAAAATCAGCCAGTTCATTTTTTTTTTTTTTTTAGACAGAGTCTTGCTCTGTCACCAAGCTAGAGTGCAGTGGCACAATCTCAGCTCACTGCAACTTCCACCTCCCGGGATCAAGAGATTCCCCTGAGCCTCCCGAGTTGCTGGGACTACAGGCACGCGCCACCACACCCGGCTATTTTTTTTTTTTTTTTAATTTTAATAGAGACAGGGTTTCACCATGTTGGCCAGGAGGATCTTGTCAATTGTCTGACCTCGTGATCCGCCCATCTCAGTCTCCCAAAGTGTTGAGATTACAGGCATGAGCCACGACCCCTGGCCTCATTTAATATTTTTTTAAGTTCCTGAAACAAAGTTATTTGCAATTTCTATGTTTCTGGGCCTGAGTTTCTTGGAATAGTAAAGTCAGGTTAACAGAAACAGTGGAAAAGAAAATTCCTATTAACGTCCACAGTAAGCTGTGTGGGTATAAGTAGTTTTGGTTCTCAATATCTGTATCCTAGGACCTCGCATGGTGCATGACATGTGATGCTACTCAGTAACTGTCTTGCCTGCGTGTTAATAGTTTACACTTACCCAGAGCTGTGTGCTGGGCAGTATAATAATGTTCTCCATGCAATATCTCATTTAATCCTCAGGACAGTCATATAAGTAGGCACTGTTGTTATCCCTACTACCTTACAGATGAGGAAACTGAGGCTTACATAGATTTTCATTCATTTATTCGGCAAATATTCAGGACCTGCTATGTGCTGGGTTCCAGGGATATAGCAGGGTTTAAAGCACCAAATCCTTGCTCTCACGGAATCACCCTTCCGGGTAATTTTCTAAAATCACATAGATACTGGATCGAGGGTGGCCCTTAAACCTAGGTAGTCTGACTCCAGAACCTGTCATCTTCACCATGGTTTTATTGGTGGATGAATGGATCGATGAGTGCAGTGAACTATCCATTTCATAGACAGCTTTGTGGTTGCAGTGATGCGATCTCAGCTCCCTGTAACTTCTGCCTCGCAGGTTCAAGTGATTCTCCTGCCTCAGCCTCCCAAGCAGCTGGGACTACAGGCACCGCCGCCACACCCAGATTATTTTTTGTATTTTAATTGACAGGCTTTCGCTGTGTTGCTCAGGCTGGTTTCATACTGAGTTCAGGCAATCCGCTTGCCTCGGCCTCCCAAAGTGCTAGGATTACAGGTGTGGGCCACTGTACCCAGACAAGCTGGGTCTTTTGAATGGCTATGGAGTATTCAGTGAGGCGACCCTAGGTGATATCGTAACACCTCTGTTCATCCAGAAGGCTGTTAGTATATATGCTATCTTGTTAGAATCCTTGTGCCAAAAATAGAAATAGGAAAGGCAAAGGAGGATCTATCCCTAGATTGCCAAGACGGTGATTCAGAATTGCTTGAGAGACTGGTTTACAGTCATGTCAGATGTGTTAAGATGCGCATGTGTCTGGGAGTTTATGGACAGAGGTCAGGATTATGGACTGGGGCAGCGCTGCCTCAAGAGCAGAAGGCAGAGACATCAAAAATGGCATTACCAGTCTTACTGTCCTTTTCTGGAGATGCCATTACTGCTTGCACCAAGGTGAGACTTCCTTTGCAGCAAAGAATGGGGGAAACATATAAAAGGTAATAACTTTCCCCTCATGTGATCCAGTCTTCTTTAATGCCATGTCATGTGCCAACAAAAGTCTCACATAGCATCAGTGGTACAGGCTCTTGCTCAGGAAATACGTGTAAAAGAGGGGAGCCACTGGACTTAGGTGATCTGGGATCTAGTGTTGGTTCTGTCACTGTGAGATCTTGAAAGTCACACAAACTAAGTTTCCTCTTGTGTTTTTTTTTCTTCAATTGAGTGTAATGGAAGTAAGACATGTCAGTACACATGAACAACCTGCTTGAACTGTGTGTGCTCATTTAAGCATTCACAGAAAGTGCCTTTGGACAGAAGCTTTGGAGTCATGAAACACAGGCCCCAGCTGGATGTGGAAATGGGTGGGGAAGTACATGCCATTTGACAAGTACCTCTCAAAGACAGTTGTGAACAGTCCTCATCGGGTGTGAATCGGGGGGATGGATGGATTGCTAAGGACTTTAGACTTGATAAGCAGAGCCTTGGAGGCCATTTCAGATAGAAAGTCTTCAAGTATCTGTCTACTCTGGTAGGGTTGCGGGGTGGAGGGCCAGGAATGCCCTGCCAAGTCAAGTGTGATGCCCAAGAAGGTTTTGAATTCAGGATTCCACCTGGCTCCCCCGTGCCGCGCTGTCTCTTAGGTGTGTGGAGTGTTTCTTGCTGCTCATTACAAGGCCACCCTGAAAAGGCCCGGTGGGTGACTGTCAGGAGCGCAGGAATCTCCTGTCTCACCACTTCCGAAGTGCTGAGGGCAAAAGGGCTGCAGAGAACCCCAGAAGGTGTGCATTGTTTCCACATTATTTGGAGTTGCCCACTCCATTGGGTTTTTTTTTTTACTTCTCCGTCTCCCCCACAACTAGCTGTGCCTTCTGCCCTGCAGGCACTCAGACAAGCTGGGCAGGCCCGCCGGAGGACAGCAGTACTGACGTCCTTCCATTACCTCCCACCCCTCGTGCCCTCCCCACACGTGATAACCAAATGGAACTTGTTACTTTTTCTTGGGGCTGGCTTTGGTCTCCTGTGTTTTCGTTAGTTTGATTTTGTGTCTTTCAAAGCCATTTTCAGAGGCTCTGTGGTACCAGGTGTAGAGCCCTCATCCTGATGTAAGGTCGAGAAGGGGCACGCCCTGGCACAAACCAGAAGGGCTGGAGGAGCCTGGAAACCTTGGGATCGGAGTGTGGGCCTCGGTAGTCGAACGGTTTCTCTCCTGGCCTGGGAAGGAAACAAGGGGTGAGAGGGTGGAAGTGGGGTCCATGCTGAGGAAGGGGTGCAGGTGCCCAACACGATGGCGGTCCCCTCTACCTATTTGTATCTGGGTGATAGGTACTAAAGAGCCTTTGCAGGGGAGGGAAGTCACACAGGGGAGCCCAGAGCCTGCAGTTTCTTTAATGGGGGAAAGGGGCATATGAGACAGTTCTCACAGTTTGACAAAAAACAGCGTGGTCATTGTGTGGACAGGAGCCTTGGTTGCATTTTGGCCCTGGCAGGGAGAGACACCCTTCTCTTGCGGTGTTTCCCAAGTGACCGCGGATCTGCAGCCGTCTAGGGAAGAGGGAGGGAGTGAAGACCGTGTATTTTGGACTTTGGGTTTGTTGTCGTTGTTAGAGACCGGGTCTCACTCTGTGGCCCAGGCCGGAGTGCAGAGGCATGATCATGGGTCACTGCAGCTTCAGCCTCCTCAGCTCAAGCGATCCTCCTGCCTGAGCCTCCCAAGTAGCTGGGATTACAGGCTCACACCACCACGCCCGTCTCCTAGTTTTTTTCTAGATGAGGAAACTGAGCCACCAAAGATAAGTACTAGCAGTTCATGTGTGTGGCAGAGCCAGATTCAGCCCTGGCCGGACTGATTTCTGTATCCAGGAGGGGAGATAGAAATCTCAGGGTCTCAACAAGGTACAAATAGTGCACATTCCCAGAACATAGAGCCGGGGATAGTCCCCTCTCAGTTCTCTTCTGAAGGTGGTTCTGGTGCAGCAATTGATAAAGCTGTGTCCCTGATGGGCTGTTTAGCCCCTGGTGCTTCCTGTAAAACTTCTCCGCTTCCGCTTGACCTGCAGGACTCTGTCCCTCACAGCTGGACACCTGGCCCTGCGGAGACGACTTGAGGAAACAAGGTATAATAATGTACTTTTTCCCATCCACAGATGGATCTGTCTGTAGAAACCCTGTTCAGCTTCATGCAGGAGCGCCAGAAAAGGTACGCCAAGTACGCTGAGCAGATCCAGAAAGTGAACGAGATGTCCGCCATCCTCCGCCGCATACAGATGGGCATTGACCAGACCGTGCCCCTGCTGGACAGGCTCAACAGCATGCTCCCCGAGGGCGAGCGGCTGGAGCCCTTCAGCATGAAGCCCGACCGCGAGCTTAGGCTGTAGCTGCTTGGGGCTGGGAGCATGCGACACCCACACCTTGAGGATGTTTGGAGCGGAAGTCTCATCATCTGCCCGGGGCTGGAGGACAGCGGGAGGCTCTGGTGCTCCCCGAAGTGGGTGCGAAGGAGTCTGGCTGGCGTGAAAATCTGACTTCGCCCAACTCTTCCCTGATGTAATTTCCCTGTGTGAAAGGAGCCAAACCAATTCTCAGTGGTAACTGAAGCTGGAACATGTGAATTATTAGGAATTCTTTGACGAACTCAGCGTCGAGAGTTATTTTTATTTAGTTTTTTTTTAATTGAGAGTATATAGTGTAGTGCCGGCACTGGAATAAAAATATGGAGACAAGGGGAGAAATATGTTAAGGAGCTCTGGGTGCGCAGTGCCCTGCGGTGAACTTTCAGTCGACTCTCTGGCTTATGTGCTGTAAACATGAAAATCTAATTGAATCTAGGTCTCTGTGTTGTTCCCGTTTCTGCCCTGCCTGTTTCCATCACACCAAGCCCTTATCTGGGGCACGTCTTCCTGCCCAGGTGGAACACTGGCGTTTTGTTGTCTGCCAGGTTATGGTGTCCCTTAGTCGTCATCAGAAACCGAAGCCTCCCTTCCACACCCTCATCAGATACATCTCCACTGATAACCGGTTTCCTTGATGCGCACCTAGTTTAGCTTTCTTTCAACCTCTGGCAGTGTTTCAGTTTTTTAGCAAGGTTTTAACCAGCATCTGGTTTAACTAGCCTAGAAAACGTGTGGGATGAGAAGGCTCTGGACACTGACGGCAGAGCTCTGATCCCACAGGTGTTTCTTGAGCCCATTTGATGTGTCCGATATTGTGCCCGGGATACAAACAGGGCCAGAGAGCCTCAGGCCTTCATTTCTGAAAAGAAGAAACTCAGAACGGTGCTGAATGTCTCTGGGAGCTTAGGAAAGGAAGTGATTTGAGTAACAGCAGAAGTGCTTCGTGAGCACTTGCTACACCATAGGTGTTCTGCTGGAAGGAAGGGAGGGAGGAGCAAAGACTGGAACGTGGGGACACACCTAGGCAGACACCTTGGGACTAAGAGCCAAGGCTGGGGGAGTCGCTGGGGCCGGGCTGCCATGCAGGCCTGCCTCCTGTTCCCTGCGTTCCTCCAGGCCTCGGGAGGTGTGTTTTCAGATGCCAGAAAGAGCCTTCAGTAGATTCACAGGATTAAAACTGATCCACTTAATTTAATGTATCTCAGCTAACCTTGATCTGATTCTAATCTTGGTTTGAGACAGGGTCTTGCTCTGTTGCTCAGGCTGGAGTGCAGTGGTACAGTCATAGCGCACTGCTGCCTCAAACTCCTCGGCCCCAGGGATCCTCCCGCCTCAGACTCCTGAGTAGCTGGGACTACAGGTGTGTGCCACCAAATCCAGCTAATTAAAAAAAATTTTTTTTTTGAGACTGAGTCTCGCACTGCCACCTGGGCTGTAGTGCAATGGCTTGATCGTGGCTCACTGCAACCTCTGCCTTCCAGGTTCAAGTGATTCTCCTGCCTCAGCCTCCCAAGTAGCTGAGATTTCAGGTAAAAAAAAATCTTTTTAAATTTTACATTTTCAAATTTGAAAGAATAATACAATGAATATTCATATTTCTTTCATCTAGATTGACAGGAAGTGGTATTTTTAAGAAGACATCACCGTCATTGTGTTTCTTCCGAGGTATACAGAATCCAGTTCTGAACACGGGATATGTTTATAACTTCAAAGAACGAAGGGTTGATTGTTTATACAGCTACAAAATAGCTCAGGTGCCGTTAACCTCACTGCACTTTTTTTTTTTTTTTTTTTTGAGACCAAGTTTCGCTCTTGATGCCCAGGCTGGAGTGCAATGGTGCGATCTCGGCTCACTGCAACCTCCGCCTCCTGGGTTCGAGCGATTCTCCTGCCTCAGCCTCCTGAGTAGCTGGGATTACAGGCATGCACCACCATGCCTGGGTAATTTTGTATTTTTAGTAGAGACGGAGTTTCTCCATGTTGATCAGGGCTGGTCTCAAACTCCCGACCTCAGGCGATCTGCCCGCCTCGGCCTCCCAAAGTGCTGGGATTACAGGCGTGAGCCACTGTGCCCGGCTCTTACTGTACTTAATACAGGTGACACGTGAAAGCACAGAGTGGGAGGTAGCTCAAGCCTGCGAGGGCCAAGCTTTTCTAGTGCTGCAGCAGTTAGTGGTTGGCACAGGGCAGAATGGCAGACCCAGCGCAGCACAAACAAACTGCACAGCCAGCCAGCTCTCCAGCAACGGTCTCTTTCTAAGGAAGTTAGATAAAACAGGGGTTAACTTAGATTGGGGTCCTGAGGAGGTAGGTGATAGGCTGCTTATTACTAGGTGGAAGCAGAGAAGTATGGCAGAAGAACAACAGGCAACATACTTTTGCAAAGAATTCTAGTTTAATATTGATGGTGTGTTGTGGTTTTTGCAGTGTCGTCAACTTGGCTAAACTGAACTGTGTTCCCAGAATTCCCTTCCATGTTTGCTTCTCTGGTGAGGGTTGGCCATGAGAGAGATTTGCATGAGGTTTGGAAGTGGATGTAGAGCGACAGCCGTGCGTAGTCACTGAAGCTGATGTCGGTCAGGCCCTGTTCCATCTCGTGCATGGTTCCATGGATCTCCTGCACTTTTGTGGTGGGGGCAGCTGCTGGGCCCACAGCTCCTCCAGCTCCCACAGAACTCTGCCTTCGCCGTTTCCAAACCCTGGGCCAGGTATGAGCACCAGCTTCTCAGTCTGCAAACGCAAGGATGAGGCTTGGGAATGAGGACAGGCCGGCGCAGACTGTGCTGAGAGGCAGGTGCAGGTCCTGGCCTGTTGCTTGCAGGTCTCGGTTGTCCTTGCTCTCCCCCACCGTCCTTCCCAACAGAAACAGCAGAACAGAGACTTTTACCAGCCCCTGTATTGCTTAAGTCAAATCCCTTTACCAGTCCTCTCATTCTACTTCATCCCTAGTGGTTCTTCTCTGATCGAACCTCTGACTGGTAACATGGTGTTACCAGTCCTTTCTCTCTGATGTTTTGCTATTTCCTGATGGAACCTGGCAGTCGGAGTGATTTGTATTTAAGGAGCAGTTAGGCTGGACCTCTTTGTTGGTTAATACCCCATGACCTCTTTGGCCATTATGAGAAATTTCGGGGATAGGAGTTGTGGAAGAGCCCTTGGCTGCATGTTTCTGGCCTTACTCTTTGGCCAGCCATTTCATTCCCTCAGCCTCAGTTTCCACCTTCCTACAGTGTGAGCTAGTCTGGGTGGGCTCTCAAGGCCCTTCCAGCTCTAAATTCCAAGTCTGCAATTCTGATTAAGCTCTTTACTGCAGTGAGCGTGTTACCTGTTGTCTCTGAGCAGTGGCCCTGGGTCAAGATTAAAATAGATTCGCTTAATTTAATGTATCTCAGCTAACCTTGATCTGATTCTAATCTTGGTTTGAGACAGGGTCTTGCTCTGTTGCTCAGGCTGGAGTGCAGTGGCGCAGTCAGCGCACTGCTGCCTCAAACTCCCGGGCCCCAGGGATCCTTCCGCCTCAGACTCCCGAGTAGCTGGGACTACAGGTATGTGCCACGAAATCCCGCTAATTAAAAAAAAATTAATTCTGAGTTCCTAAGGTAGAGCTGCTTGTCTTCCTTTCAATTATAAATTAGGTGTTCATTGGCTGCTTTCTAGAGCCTGTTTTGCATGTCTAGCGATCTGTTCATTTCTGAACACTGTCAGATAGGCCCCCACCTGCCGTCTCCTGGTTCTACTGGTTGAAGGGCAAGGTTGGTAGAAACTGGCCGTCACCCCTTGTATTATGTGCATATAAATTTATAGTAATGAATTGTGGAGTTAAGAGCAAGTGATAGTGTAGCTTCACAGATTTCACACCTTTGTTTCTCTCAAAGTTTTATTCTTAGTAACTACATAAATAGTTTTATAGACTATATACATACAGTCTCCTGTGTCTTAGATAATATTTTAACCTAGATACCTACCCAGTGTTCTCTGCAGAGTAAATATTTGATTAAATGAGTTTCAAGGACTCCATAGCCTGATAGAGGAGTACATTCAATACATGAGTTTAGGCTGGGCACTGTGGTCCATGCCTGTAATCCCAGCACTTTGGGAAGCTGAGATGGGTGGATCGCCTGAGGTCAGGAGTTCAAGACCAGCCTGACCAACATGGTGAAACCTCATATCTACTGAAAAAGTGCAAAAATTAGCTGGGCATGGTGGCTGGATCTGTAATCCCAGCTAGTTGGGAGGCTGAGGCAGGAGAATCACTTGAACCTAGAAGGCGGAGTTTGCAGTTAGCTGAGATTGTGCCACTGCACTCCATCCTGGGCAACAAGAAACTCTGTCTCAAAAGAAAAAAAAAAGGAGTTGAATCTGGGAGAATTTGCTTTTCGAGTAAAAAAATTAAGTTTGACTTTATGTTTGTATGTGTGCGTATGTATATATGTTTCTGTATCCTGATATTTCTTTGTGGCTTCTTCAGACTTACGAAAGAGGTTGGTAATGTTACCCTTACATTGTAAGTATTACAAACTCGGTTTTACAAGGTTACATAAACTAATGGCCCTGGGGCGACTGACAGGTGCCACTTTTGTGTTGATTTGTAGAACTTATTTAGCTTTGGCATTTCCCCTAGTAAGTCCCAAGGCAAAACCAGGAATTGTCAGAGAGACGTGACCAGACATGTATTAAAACTCTAGTGCAATTGGGAACTTGGTCTTCCTGATGTGTTCATACTTCAGCTAAACCCAGATACATAGTGCTTAGAAATTATTCCAAATGTTGATACTCAAGACTGAAAGATGGATTAGGGAGAAAACGTCTCTTCTTGTGGACTTGTTAGGTATGAAATGTGATCATGAGAGGAGTTGTGCTTTTCTTTCCTCCACCTTGGTCTTCATTCCTTTGTTCAGAATTAGATAGTGCCCCCGAGGAGGTGTCATTATTGTTCACTAACTTACCATAAATCAGGGGTCTCCAACCCCGGGCCGAACACTGGTATCTGTGGCATGTTAGGAACTGGGCTGCACAGCAGGAGGTGAATGGTGGGCTAGCAAGTGAAGCTTCATGTGTGTTTTTTTTTTTTTTTTTTTTTTTTTGGTTTTTTTTGAGACAAAGTCTTGCTCTGTCGCCCAAGGTGGAGTGCAGCAGTGCGATCTCGGCTCACTGCAACCTCTGCCTCCCAGGTTCAAGCGATTCTCCTGCCTCAGACTCCTGGGTAGTTGGAGCTACAGCAGCATGCCATCACACCTGGCTAATTTTTGTATTTTTAGTAGAGTCAGGGTTTCACTGTGTTGGCCAGGCTGGTCTTGAACTCCTGACCTTGTGCCACCCGCCTCCACCTCCCAAAGTGCTGGGATTACAGGTTGGGCCATGTCCCTGGCCAGCTTCATATGCATTTATAGCCACTCCCCATCACTCACATCACTGCCTGAGCTCCACCTCCTGTCAGATCAGCCCCAGCATTAGACTTTCCTAAGAGTGTGAACCCTATTGTGAACTGCACGGGTGTGTGCCCCTTGTGAGAATCCAATGCCAGATGGTGGGAGATAGAATGCCAGATGGTGGGAGTCTCATCCAGAAATCATCCCCCTACTTCCCTGTCTGTAGAAAACTTGTCTTCTGTGAAATGGGTCCCTGTTGCCAAAAAGGTTGGGGACTGTCATAAATAATTTAATTTCTTGTGGTTTTTGACACACCAGGCATGTGCTTTCCTTTTAAATGCTATGGCTACAGAGGGAAAGGGTAACCAGATAATTATCCACCTGCTTCAAACCAAAAAGATCAAACAGTGGCAACCAGCCGGAGTCGCTTGCCAGGATGAGCAGCGTTATGCTGGTGTGCGTGTCCATGTCTCAGGAGTTTTTCCAGGGCTGTCAATGTCAGTGTAAGACATGATGGAATTTACTGATGACCCAATTAATTTTTCTTCACCAATCAAGGCTCATTGAGGCATGAGTTATGCCGAAAGCCTTTGTGCACCAAGTACGTTCAATCTGGTCTTTGAAATTGTCATAATTCCGACCAGAGAACCCAGACCATTACTGAATGCTCTTCAGGTTACGCTATTTGCCTATCACGTTGCTTCTACAAGGTCACATCCTGAACTTCCTGTGAGACAGCATTTTCAAACTGATTCTGATGTTTGAGCTGGAACCAAAAGAATGAAACTTTTTACATAAATGCATTTTGCTGTCTCTGCAAACAAACTGCAACAATGTGACTGACTTGTAAATATCTTCCAAGATAGTGCTATAATTTTCCAGTTGATTTTGCAACTTTAAAGATATAACCAAGTAAAATTAGGCTGTTCAGGGATGAATGGTCCCACAGAAGCTAGAAACAGTTTACTTCCCGCTTCCATTTATAGATGCGGAAGAGTAATATTCACAGATCAAATATATAGACAAATTTTGTCTACTAGGTAATCTAAAACATTCCTGCTTCTCAGAAAAACAAAACCAGAAGAATATTTAAGATAAAGTGTAATCCCAGCACTTTAGGAGGCTGAGGAGGGAAGATCATGAGGTCAAGAGATCCAGACCATCCTGGCCAACATGGTGGAACCCCGTCTCTACTAAAAATACAAAAATTAGCTGGATGTGGTGGCGCACACTTGTAGTCCCAGCTACTCAGGAGGCTGAGGCAGGAGAATCGCTTAAACCCGGGAGGTGGAAGTAGCGATGAGTCAAGATCATGCCACTGTACCAGCCTGGGCGACAGAGCCAGACTCCATCTCAAAAAGAAAAAACAAAACAAGTTTTGTCAATGAAAATGTTTTCAGGCTAAAAAATTTCCGTCAACTAGTCCCAGGATACGCCCTTACCCTTCACATATTCTCTTTAGACACTCAGCTCCAATTTTGCCATATTTTTCTTCACCTCTCCATCTACACCTTCCTAATTTTTCCACTTAGTTTATTTATTTTATTTGAAATGGAGTTTTGCTTTTGTTGCCCAGGGGAGTGCAGTGGCACAATCTCGGCTCACTGCAACCTCTGCCTCCTGGGTTCAAGCAATTCTCCTGCCTCAGCCTCCCAAGTAGCTGGGATTACAGGCACCCACCACAGCGCCCAACTAATTTTTGTATTTTTAGTCTCAAAAATTAGGCTGGTCTCAAACTCCTGACCTCAGGTGATCCACCCACCTCAGCTCCCCAAAGTGCTGGAATTACAGGCATGAGCCACCGCGCCCACCCTCCCCTCTTAGTTTAATTCCTGGTCTAATTGTAGTTGTCACGTCCAAAGCAGTCCTCCGACCACAGCCTGCTGAGGCTGGTCAAGGGGCTCCGAGCTCTGTAACTGGCCTGACCTTCAGGCCCTCCCAAGATCTTCCGTCTTCTTGTTGGAAGCCTGTCACTGAAATGACTGTTCCTCCTGCTGCCCTCTGTCTCGGGGGAGTTTATTCTACCCCCTTTATTCCCGTATCTCACTTAGACCTCTTATTTTCTGTGTCGTCCTGGCCAAGACAGACAGTTCTTTTAGTCTCGCTTACTCAGCCCAATCCTTCTTACAGATTTTCTTAAATCTAACTTCAGGTCAACCAACTTAAGGTCACCTGTGATTCTTCCTATAGTCATTGAATCTGCACTGCAGCTTTATCCCTTCAATGCCTCATTTTTATGAAACTGATGAAACTAAGCTTCTAGTCTCACTAAGTCGTCAAATCTACTGTCATGAGCAGAGAGGTCACTAAGATGTACGTGGCAAGGACAGAGGTTAGATCTTCAACAATTGCCCTTCCTGTTTTTCCTGTTGGAATCATAACATTGTTAATTGAAGTGGACCATGAGTGTGTAGCTGGCTTTTTTCTTCCTATCATGTACTTGTGTGTTCTGGAATCAGTCAGCTAGAAAATACTGACCAAGTGCCCTAGGCTTCTGCGCCATCGTGCGCATTTCATGCACACAGCAACGCTTTTACTGTTGGCTGATGATCCTGTGTTCCATGCCATGATAGAACAGAATATACCTGATGACAAAATCACTTTATTTTGAGCTAAATCCTCATTTACATGAGAAGAACAGGACAGGTTTCACCACGGCGTCCTCTGGCAACTTGGGTGGTGGTATTCCCACCAAGTGTATGGCTGAAAAATAGGTCTTTTCTCATATTTATGTATAAACAGGTACCAGTTTTGATTTTATTTCATCATTTCATACATTAACATACATGACACATCAAAATGAGAAATGCACAATTTAACCATTCAACAGCTGGCCTTACTTCAAAAGAACACTATATTCATATTAAACATTTACAGTCTTTCCATCTAGCTTTACACATGTCCTAAGTCGTTTTCCAGCATTTCTCACCTAGAAGTCTAAGTCTAGTTTTGCTCTTTAAAATCACCATCATCTATATCACCCTAGTAGGTGCCAGGATTACCCGATTATGTGCTGAAGAGAGCCAGCCACCACCCTGTCCAAAGACACCCAAGCAGCTCCAGAGCCGGCCTCCGAGGCTGCCCCTTCACCACGGCAGTCTTCATTCCACGAAATGATTTGACACGAGCGAACCAGCACTGAAGGCTGTAGTGTGTGACTACATCACAGTCACAGAAGAGGACCATGGCCAAGGGACGCCCTAAATGACAGCAGCTCATTAAAACCCAGTCCCTCAAACCTCCTGAAACATCCTTAGCAAGGAGCTACTGCTTTCATTTCTTAAAAATGTTTTGGAGGTGACCACATTCCGCAAGTGGTGAACCATTACACATTTGTGTGTGTGTGTACATAACATCAGAAATTACTGTGTGAAACTTGAGAATGTGATTACATTGAATGTATGTATAAAAACTAACTCGAATCATTGACCAGCTCTTTCCCAGTGTCCTTAGCAATGTGGCCAACCCTCTTCTGCCTTCACTTACACCCACCCCATCACCCATCACGGCACATTATTTGTGCACAGCTAATGTCTGTACGGCTCATCTTCCCCGTGACCACGCCAGTCTCTGTTGAGTCATGTCATTCTGTGCTGGTTTTAGAAGTCACCATAGGAAACATGAAGTCACATCCTGGTCAAAAAACTGTCCATTTCTCAAACAGAGAAAAACCTGAGATACGAGGCAGCAACTAGCGACACTTACAGGAAAGGAAAGAACAATGACAGCACCCGCCCAGTCTCACTCCCAAAAAAGCTGCTGTCATGAATTAGGCTTCAAAAGAGGACCCACATTGTAGTGGACAAAACCCAAAGCCAGGAGGAAGTTTGAAAGCAGATTTGCACTATCACTTGCGCACTTGTTCCAGTGACCTCCTACGTTCAGCTGCCAGGACCGAGTCCACAGTGATTGTAGGCTGAGGGCTGAGGATGCCCCTTGCTCCAGCTCCATTTGGATTCGCCCCTTCCACTGAAGACATGCCAGCCAGAGTTTCTGAAAATAGCTTGGCCATGGCTTTGCACTCTGCTCATAACTGATCAAAACTCAACGGTCTTCTCAGCTTTCTTAACAGTTTTATTCTGAATATTCCTTGCTCACTAAAGCCTTTCTCAGCCCTACTAGTAAATTCGAAAGTCTGAGGCAATTAATTACAGAAACACCACCCCCTCGCATGCCAAGGGGATAAAAGCCATTAAGGAAATAGGTTTCCTGCTTCTCCTCAGCAATTTTTACCTTTCTTAATCTTCTCATAATTTACCTCCCTTGGTAGTTTCCTGTAAAATTCTGCTGTATTGTTACATTTTACCAACTGTCCATGCAGTGAAGTAGAAATGGCAAAAATATCTACTCTGGCTGAGAAGTGGAAGGTGCTGCTGCTTGGTTACCAACCCAAATAAATTCACATTTGGCTGGAAACCAAGTTCATCTTTATTTAAAGGATTGACAATCCCATTTAAACAATTCTTTGATTTATACAGAGGGAGGGAGACTCGTTAGCCTCCCAACCTTAGCTTTAATCATGACGCTGCCAGGTTCCTGGCTGTTCAGCTGAATCCTAGACACTTTCCCTTCTCTTCATAAAGCTGAGAAGGAAACAAAATTAACTGCTTCCATCCAGGCCCACTGGAATTTTGTGCATAGAGTTTGAATTGGTCTGAAAAGTGTGACTAGCTACCTACCTATTCACAATGCCTAGAAAACGGGCTACCAGATATGGCAGTGGTCAAAGCCCCAACTTTCCTGTCTGAGGTACTGGGTTTGCTCTAAAGTAGACCTTGGCAAGACCCCTAATGGTCCATCCAGCAGAGTGATGCTGTGTCCCTCGGCTATCGGGTGAGCGTGGGTTTGTGAATCAGCTTTGGAAAGGATCGTTTCTCTTGGATTCACCACTAGGCTCTGTCCCTAACAGGGTCTACCTACCTGACCCACAGGCTGGCTCAGTCTCGGCGCTAAGGTGTACTATGGAAGGGACCAGACAGAGACTAATGTTTGAGATCTCTTAGTATGTGAAAATGGTAGAGGATTTTGTCCTCCGACACCAAATACACTTTCTTTTTAAGAACAAGATGATGTGTGAGTCACTGAATCAGATGACTGTCTGGGGGAGTCTAGCGTCTGCCCTTCCATTTTTGTTGAGAGAGGTATTAGCTGATCTCTCAAATGCAGATGTTAGGAGAGTAACAACTGGGTTGATCCACCTTTTGCTTTTACACCATAGCTCCATTTTCTAAAAATATATATGTATGTACATATATATATTTCAGATTTACAGGGAATTCTTTTGTGAACCAGAAAAAAAAATTGTCCATAGAAGTCGCAAGTGTTTTTCTTCTCAGGAGACCTCAATGATTTCCATGCTGCCCGAAAAGCTAGACTGACTGCCCACTTTCCCCAGCTCTTCCCGCGACCTATTCTCTGACATGATGCTCTCTCCAAATTCCATTTGGCAGCTTCTGCGTTTAAACTGCTTTTCAAAGGGGCTCTCTTCATGCCAGCTCCGCCGCGAGTCAGCTCTGTCACTTGGCTTCTGCCGCCTGCGCACAGAATAGACTTGGTCCCCGCAAGTGGGCAGCTGGCTGCAGCTGTAGGCAGAGTAACTGGCACTGCCTCCATAGATGGCTGAGGCAGAGTAGAAGTGTGAGGACTCCGTGGCAAAATACCAGCTGCTAGTCAGGGAAGGGGTGGAAGTCTGGGGGGCCAAGATATCTGAGTGCCAGCCCTTGAGGCCCAGGCCAGCAGACTTCGTGAGGTGCTGCTGGCTGGTGGACAGGCCAAAAAGGAAGCTGGTGTGGTAATTGTCCTCCACGCTCCCACTTCGATGCAACGGAGATAAAAGAGACCTCTGGGTGGTGCCACTGCTGCTGGTTCTGACCGAGTGCAATCGTTTGCTCTGGCTGTCTGAAGGCCTGGTGGTCGGCGGCTTCTTGGGGATGCTGGTTTCCTCCTTATCGGGGCTGGTTTCAGGAGTCTGTTCCGATAGTTCCTGAACAGGGGAGAACTGGCATAGCTTGTTGGTCCCATCCAGAGTACTGGAAGGTTTGTAGTATTCCAAAGCATCTTCTGATGAGAAGCCATGTAAGGACGCTGCCATGCTGGCTGAATATGAAACTGATTTGATATCCAGAGAGAAGGAACGCTTGAGCTTATTGCTGTCTTCTAGCCTGTCTGTGGACAGGTGCAGCCCACTGAGTGCCTGTACCAGCGGACTGTCCTCTAACAGCGGCGGCTGCATGCTGGGCATGCTGGTGGGATGCACAGGCCTTTGCCCTGCTGCCTCTGAGGTAGCAGAGTCGGCAGAGGGTGGACTGAGAGGCGACTCGCTTTTCTGTCCACCCTCTGAGACGGCAGGGACAGGGTCATTTGGCTTCTCCAGGTGCAGCAACTTGAGTTTGCTCTTTGGCCCTGATGTTCCAGTCTGGTTCTTAATCTTCTTCTCATAGTCCAGGAGTTGGCCCAGAAAATTGAAGTTTGGAGATATAGTAGGTCTTTTTTCTTTCACAAATCTACAGAGAGGAAAAAACAAAAACCTGAATTTTACATCTTTTTTTTTTTTTTCTTTGAGGCGAAGTCTTGTTTTGTCGCCCAGGCTGGAGTGCAGTGGCGCGATCTCAGCTCATTGCAACCTCTGCCTCCTGGGGTCAAACTATTCTCCTGCCTCAGCCTCCTGAGCAGCTGGGACTACAGGCGCGCACCACCATGCCCGGCTAATTTTTGTATTAGTAGAGACAGGGTTTTACCATATTGGCCAGGCTGGTCTTGAACACCTGATCTCATGATTTGACCCCATCAGCCTCCCAAAATGCTGGGATTACAGGCGTGAGCCACTGTGCCTGGCCAACTACACTTTATCTTAAGAATATTAAGTGGATAAATGAGATAGGGAATTAACAGGCAGACCTCAAAAACCTCTGAAAGATGACTGGTTTAAAAGTTCAGGGAAATGCCACAAGGTGGAGAATACAAAAGACCTAGGCGTTGGGGAAGCTTTGCACATATCCCTGGAGCATGCCAGAGAGAGGCAGCCAGGCACCTAAGGCCCTAGTTTTTGCTTCCTTATTTTCAAGGGCCAGGGCTCCCAATGCAACTGATAAGAGACGATATGGGGTTTTGTTGGTGGCAGTCTTTTCTTAAGAGACAGGGTCTTGTTCTGTTGCCCAGGCTGGAGTACAGCAGCATGATCACAGTTCACTGCAGCCTCGAATTCCTGGGTGCATGCGGTCCTCCCACCTCAGCCTCCTGAGTAGCTGGAACTATAGGATCCTACGCCTGCCTAATTTTAATTTTTGTGTGTGTGTGTGAGAAAGGGTCTCACTGTGTTGCCCAGGCTGGTCTCAAACTCCTGGGCTCAAGTGGTTCTCCCACCTTGGCCTCTCAAAGTGCTGGGACTACAGGTGTGAGCCACCAGGCCTGGCCTAGAGATGATTTATTCACCACCAAGTACACCCTGAGACATACACTTTGGAGGCCAAGGCGGGTGGATCACCTGAGGTCAGGAGTTCAAGACCACCCTGACCAACCCCGTCTTAAAAAAAGAAAAAATTTACACTCCCAGCAACAGTGTAAAAGTGCTCCTATTTTTCCACATCCTCTCCAGCATCTGTTGTCTCCAGATTTTTTAATGATCGCCATTCTAACTGGCGAGAGATGGTATCTCAACGTGGTTTTGATTTGCATCTCTCTAATGACCAGTGCTGATGAGCATTTTTTCATGTTTGTTGGCCTCATGTATGTCTTCTTTTGTAAAGTGTCTGTTTATATCCTTTGCCCATTTTTGAATGGGCTTGTTTTTATCTTGTTTTATCTTGTAAATCTGTTTTAGTTCTTTGTAGATTCTGTTTTAGTTCTTTGTAGATTTGTCAGATGGGTAAACTGCAAAAATTTTTTTCCCATTCTGTTGGTTGCTGATTCACTCTAATGACTGTTTCTTTTGCCGTGCAGAAGCTGTGGAGTTTGATTAGGTCCCATTTGTCTATTTTGGCTTTTGTTGCCAATGCTTTTGGTGTTTTGGTCATGAAGTCCTTGCCTACTCCTATGTCCTGAATGGTTTTGCCTAGATTTTCTACTTTTACACTGCTGGTGGGAGTGTAAATTAGTTCAACCATTGTGGAAGACAGTGTGGCGATTCCTCAAGGACCTAGAAATAGAAATTCCACTTGACCCAGCAATCCCATTACTGGGTATATATTTAAAAGATTATAAATCATTCTACTGTAAGGACACATGCACATGAATGTTCACTGCAGCACAGTTTACAATAGCAAAGACCTGGAAACAACCCAAATGCCCATCAATGATAGACTGGACAGGGAAAATGTGGCACATATACACCATGGAATATTATGCAGCCATCAAAAACGATGAGTTTGTGTCCTTTGTAGGGACATGGATGAACCAGGACACCATCATTCTCAGCAAACTGATGCAAGAACAGAAAATCAAACACCGCATGTTCTCACTTATAGGTGGGTGTTGAACAATGAGAACACATGGACACAGGGAGGGGAGCATCACACACTGGAGTATGTCAGGGGGAAATAGGGGAGGGACAGTGGGGGGTAGGGAGTTGGGGAGAGAGAGCATGGGGAGAAAGGCAGCAAATCACACTGCCATGTGTGTACCTATGCAACAATCTTGCATGTTCTTCACATGTACCCCAAAACCTAAAATGCAATAAAAAAATAAGTAAAATGTAATTAAAATATAGCATCTAGCACAGGCCAAAAAAAGAAAAAAATTAATTTAAAAAGTACAGTATAACAGCCACTCTCCTTCTTCAATTTCCAATGTCATCCCCTCTCAAAGTCACCAGTCACTTCCCAAGAGAGTTCACATTTTAAATTTAATGACAAAAAGAACATGGTATCAGATGGTCAAAGTCTGAAAGCCACACTTCTTTTTTAGTCAGCATGACAGAATAACCAAGACAAAGTGGCCAAATCATTATTTAATCTTTAAAACTACCTTGTATCAGGTGGGTGTCATTATCCCCATCATATAGCTACACAAAGTCCTTAAGTGACTTGCCCGAAATCCCACAGCTACTAAATAATGGTGCTGGATTCAGAACCAGGCTGGTCAAATGTCTGGGTCCATATTTGTAACCACCATGTTAAAAACAGATTCATTAAAGGATCAAAACTAATACTAGATGGCTTTCATGTTTCATGGATGATCTAAAGAGTCAGAGATGACAAATTCTTCAGCAGCCCCGGCACCTCATGCATATTTTCAGGTGAGGCAGGAGTAGAACTGCACTGCAAATGGGCCTTTGAATACGAAGCAAGAAAAACAAAAACATGGAAATCAAGTAACCTAAAGCAAATTCATAAAAATAGAAATAACTGGCTCAACAATAACAGGTGTAAATGTAGGGTCCTCATAATGAGACTTCATGACGTGACACGATATAAGGGTGCCTTTCCTTCTGATTTCCACACGGAGCAAGAGAGGCCTGCACCAGGGCACAAGAGTTGATGTGGATGACGGGAGGACCCACCTCCTCCAGGTTCCTGACTTACACGGGAAACTGAGCAGCTCATCTGTTTTCCAAACTTTTCAATTTGAGAAAAAAAAAATCCAACTGTTAATCAGGCCTGCTCCATGAGTCTCTATATTTTTTATTTCTTATCAGATAAAAATGAACCATCTCTACCTGGCAAGACATGCAGGGGAATCAGATTAATCAGAGACTAGAGGCAACCCAGTTAAAATCACACACATAACCTGGCCCACTCCAGAATGTAGGAAATTTTACCTAAAGAATGGAGTCTGACAGTTATGTGGTTCATATTTGCATGAATTAGGCTTTTTCTTCCCAGCAGTCCAAAGTTTGAAGCAGAACAGAGATTGTGCAGTGAGCATTCTATTAGAGCTTCCCCCTCACGCAAATTAAAACCAAGGATACTTTTACATTTAGGGAAAGGAATAAACTCATGTAACAGGATATTTTTGTTCCTTAAACATAAAAAGTGGCTGAGGATGAATGTGACACATGAGGACAGAATTCATGCTAAATAGTAAAACAGCACAAGACCATTAAAAAATCCACCGTAACCTGTAAAAAGCATGACTAAAATAGTAATCTGTTTTAATTTGGTTACTCATCATTAGAATTCTTTGTGTTTCAGGTCAAATGAAAAGCCAATCACAGAAGACATTTTCTTGCCCTCACCTGTAAGCTTCATCTAAAGACATGTCCATCCTCTTCATGATGTAGGCGATAGCGATGGTGGCAGAGCGGGAGATCCCAGCCAAACAGTGCACTAGGACACATCCATTGGAGGCTTTTGCTTTCTCTGTATGAGTCAAATTCAAGAAAGGTCACTACTAACAATTGTGGTCAGCAGTGAAATCTTGTTTCCATTTATTTACTCAGTGTCTTCCACCTAAAAACCTCTAAGCAAATCTCATCTGTTTACATCCTATTTATCCTTGCAATATTCTTCTGAGGAGGTGGGGGAGGAGAATTCCCTCACCATTGACATGCAGGACAGCTGGGGTCCAAAACTCTTTGTTAATAAGCAAGCTTTTACTCACGTTTCCTGACTTACATCAATACTTCCCCTACTAAGACATGGCTAATGTTTAATCGTGTTATCTGACATTTCCAATTTTTCACTGATTACATAAGTGATGTAATTAAAATTTTAAATTATTATTATTTTGAGATAGGCTTGCTCTGTTGCCCAGGCTGGAGTGCAGTGGTGCGATGTCGGCTCATTGCAACCTCCACCTCTCGGATTCAAGCAATTCTCCTGCCTTAGCCGCCGGAGTAGCTAGGATTACAGGTGTGTACCGCCACACCTGGCTAATTTTTGTATTTTCAGTAGAGACAGGGTTTCACCAATTTGGGCAGGCTAGACTCTTAACTCCTAGCCTCAAGTGATCCACCCACCTCAGCCTCCCAAAGTGCTGGGATTACAGAAGTGAGGCACTGTGCCCGGCCTCCCTATTTTTCTTTAGGCAACTTTTCTGTATGCCATAAAATGGCTCAACTTTATTTACTAAATTTTAGAAGAAAACATTGTATATCGTATGAATCAGGTTTACCAGGTCACTTTAATGAGATCCAAGAGAACTTTTATCCCTTCCTTGATACCCAGGAGTTACTGTCTTATTGCATTATCTTAATACCCCACAACACAGTGGAAGGACTCACGGACACTTTGCTAGAACCAAAGGACTGGGGAAATCCAAGCAGTGCTGCCATCTCTCACTGCTGAGGGCTTAAAAATACATACGTGTAGCAGGAGGTGAGGTTATTCCACACAGCCTGGAAGCTACTAACATTTTGGCCAGTTCTATGACTGCCTTAATTCTCAGTAGTTACATGTGTGCTCAGTCATGAAGCTGAATTCTCCCCTTTTCATTCTTGGTAGATACTACCAAAAGTCTGCTGAGCCTTGTGTTAAAATTATTACAATTAACAGATATGCAAGGAATCTTACTTTGGCAGCTACATAATACAAGGCTATTCAGTCTCACTGCCTGTTATAAAATTGTAAATTTCTAGTGTTATGATTATATATAGCATAATTATTTATCATATACAAAGAACATAGAGGTTTGGGGTAGTACATGAATAATCAGGCAGCAAGTAGCTTCCCCTTCTAGATAGGGAAACCAAACACAATAAAACAATTAAAAACGAATACCAAGCAACACTCAAAGGATTGTATGCTATACCAATGAGAACATATAAACCCGTGTACGCACAGTCTCATGCCTTCCTGTGCCTCAACGTCCCCTTTCTTCTCATTTACCCCATGGTACTCTCAGTGCTTCCTTCCCCTTCTGCCCTGCTGCTAAGAAGCTCAAAGCTAAGGTTTCTACTCTATTTCAGTAAGAAGTTGCAATTCAGATTTTACCTTTCCTAGCCCCATACTACTTGATTCTTGCTTTTTTAAATCCCATTTCAATGTGTGTGTGTGAGAATATGTATATTTTGGTCCTAACCTATCACTGAGAACTGCTTCAGATCCTTACTGGAAGTAGGCTGGTTTGTTTTTGTTGTTTAACATTGACAATACTCTCATTAATTTTCAGAATTATCTCAAAAACTAGATTATAAGGACCCAGAAGGATCTTGCTTGCTTCTGCCAGCGTTCCCCTAAGGGATTTAATTCCAGGCACATCGTAGGTGCTCAGCTGATACTGGCTGACTGATATATCTATTTTTGAAAGCCATTTTTATAAAAAATATGAAGAAGCCTGGAAAGAAAACAATAACAGTAACGTGTGTTATGACGTTGAGGTTACAGGTTTCCTTTTCTGTTTTTCAAATTTTCTGCAATGTGCTTCCGACTGCTTTTACAACCACAACTCTTCTGATGACGTCTTTTAAAAATTAACAAGCGACTAAACTGAAGTTGAGGTTCATTAGCACACATCTTGGGAGACATGAGCCCTAAACCATGTCTTCAAGCAAAGGAATTAATACACAGAGACCTAGAAGAGAGGAGAAGGGAAGTGTGTGCAAGAAAGCCCCGCAGTGGGACTGAGCAGAGTGCTCAGAAAACAGCCTGCCTTGGAGAAGTAACCAGAGAGAAGGTTTCAAAGGTGGGGAGCAGGTGTTGGAGGCGGTTGGGAATGGCAGGCTAAGGGCTACATTTCTTTTTTTGAGACAGGATCTCACTGTCTTCACCCAGGCTGGAGTGCCATGGCGTAAACATAGCTCACTGTAACCATCAACTCCTAGGCTCAAGCGATCCTCCTGCCTTAGCCTCCCAGCTAGGACTACAGGTACACACCACCATCCCTGAGTAATTTTTAAAATTTTTTTGTAGAGGCAGGATCTTCCTATATTGACCAGGCTGGTGTCAAACTCCTGGCCTCAAGCAGTCCTCCTGCCTCTGCTTCCCGGAGTGCTGTGATTACACATACTGCACCTGGCCAAAGCTACCTTTTTAATGTAGAAGACTAAGGAGGCTCTTTGGGTTTCTGAATAAAGATAAGAAGGCAATGATGATGAAAACTGGAAATAAGCAGGTGGCCATTACAGAAATTAAGGCTAAAATCTAGGTTAAGAAAGGGCAGAGAACTGCAAATGCGAAGGGCGAAGGGCAAAGACGCAGTGAGGATGACAAGTTACAAAGGCTAAAAAGAAGGAAGTAACCACTCAGTGGGGTTACAGACTCCAGCTCAAAGGGCAGAAAACAGGAGGAACTTCAGGTAACAATTTAAAAAATACTTACTAACACCCAGTTTTGAGTCCAGTATTTTACAAGGTGTTCAACGCACATAACATTATCTATTTTACTTCTTTTTATCTTCTTTTTGGTTTTCCTTTTTTCTTTTTTCATTTTACGTTACCTGTTTTAATCCTTACAGTACCCCTATAAGGTAGGTAAATTATCTTCAGTTTCCAGATCAGAAAACTGAAGTGCACGGAAGTTTGAACTAACTGAACTCAAACCACTTCACTAAGAACCAGGGCAGGCAGGACTCAAATACAGACAGCTTGCCTCCAAGATACATGGTCTTGATCACCTCCCTGTGTGGTGTCCATGCAGTCGTGAGTCTGGCATAGGACAGCAGGAGCCCAGGAGACAGTGAAGAGGAAGCAAGAGGCTGTATTCATAGCCAGCTGGGTTTGGGGGCACCTCATGAGTATCCCACAGCACAAACGGGCGAACTGTTACTGGCACGTTAACTAAAAAGAAAGGCAAAATTCCACATAAACCTGAGTCTGTCCAACAAACCCGGAGACTGAACTGAAATCGAATCTAACGAAAAGAAAAGAAAAAAACCCCTATGAGTCTGTAAGTCACTTAAGGGGGTACATCTTCAAATGACACACTATGGCTAACCATGGCTTAAAACAGCACGAAGGAGAAGGCTAGCAATTACAGTGAATATGGGCTGAATTCAAAAAGTGGCCTGGAGAGTTTGCCTTGAATCCTTGGATGGGATAAGGATGATGGCTCTCACAGGACCGAGCAAATGAAATACTGATACGTATTTGCAGATGCTGCAAACAAATTATGTGTTTTGTGCGTATGTGTTTAACCAAACTGCAAAGCAGTACAAGTGCTTTTCTATGATGACCCCAGTATCCCCATGAAAGGAGAAAATAAGATGGGAGCAAAGTTATTCACATTCTCTCTTCCCTTCTGACTGTTTTCTACTCAACTTTTTCTCCTAAAGCCTACACATTGTCATGACTTAAGAAAACCATGTTTTTGGCCGGGCGCGGTGGCTCACGCCTGTAATCCCAGCACTTTGAGAGGCCGAGGCAGGTGGATCACGAGGTCAAGAGAGCGAGACCATCCTGGTCAACATGGTGAAACCCCATCTCTACTAAAAATACAAAAAAAAAAAAAAAATTAGCTGGGCATGGTGGCACGTGCCTGTAATCCCAGCTACTCGGGAGGCTGAGGCAGGAGAATTGCCTGAACCCAGGAGGCGGAGGTTGCGGTGAGCCGAGATCGCGCCATTGCACTCCAGCCTGGGTAACAACAGCGAAACTCCGTCTCAAAAAAAAAAAAAAAAAAAAGAAAACCATGTTATCTTCTAGATAGATTTTGAAATCTCATTTTTAGCTGAAATGAGAGCCAATGTCTCTGGATCAATGTGATGTGCAATGGGAAGATTAACCATAATTGTTTTGGGTTTTTTTTTGAGTTGGAGTCTCATTCTGTCACCAAGGCTGGAGTGCAGTGTGTGGTCTTGGCTCACTGCAACCTCCACCTCCCGGGTTCAAGTGATTCTCCTGCCTCAGCCTCTCAAGTATTTGAGATTACAAGTGCCTGTCACCATGCCCGGCTAATTTTTATGTTTTTAGTAGAGCCAGGGTTTCAACACATTGGCTAGCCTGGTCGTGAACTCCTGACCCTCAGGTGATCTGCCCACCTTGGCCTCCTAAAGTGCTGGGATTACAGGTGTGAGCCACCGTGCTGGCCAACTGTTATTTTTTAAAGAGGCAAAAACTGAATGATTTGCTGAATGTTTTCTGAAAGTACAGTGTGGGGGGTGGGGTTAACTTGTGGGGATTTGTTTGCGATTTTTTTTTTTTTTTTTTTTTTTTGAGAGATGGAGTTTCACTCTGTCGCCCAGGCTAGGGTGCAGTGGTGCAATCTCAGCTCACTGCAACCTCCACCTCCTAGATTCAAGTGATTCTCCTGCCTCAGCTTCCCAAGTAGCTAGGACTACAGGAGTGCACCACTGTGCCCAGCTAATTTTTATATTTTTAGTAGAGACAGGGTTTCACTATATGTTAGCCAGGCCGGTCTAGAACTCTTGACCTCAGGTGATCCACCTCAGCCTCCAAAATGCTGGGATTACAGGCGAGAGCCACTGCCCCGGCTGTTTGTTTGTGATTATTTTGAAATGAACTAAGTCATTTATCTTCAGATGTCTCACAGAATGAATCCTAATTGAAGATGAAACCCTCAGCAACCTGGAAACCTTGAAAAAAGACAAGTGTTTTAGAATTACTCAAAGGTCCAAAAGCATTACCTAGAATATTCCCCTCACAGGTGAAAATTATAGTATGGGGCTTAATATACCTAATTCCACTTTTTTTGTTTTTGAGACAGGGTCTGGCTCTATTACCCAGGCTGGAGTTCAGTGGCACAATCTCTGCTCACTGCAACCTCCGCCGCCTGGATTGCTCAGGCAATCCTCCCACCACAGCCTCCTGGACAGCTGGGAGCACAGATACGTTGCTAGAGACAGGGTATTGCTATCTTGCCCAGGTTGGTCTTGAACTCCTCCTGGGTTCAAGTGATTGCTTGGCTCAGCCTCCCAAAGTGCTGGAATTATAGGCATAAGCCACCATGCCTGGCCAATTCCACGTTTTTAAAGGAACTGGTTCTTTTATTTTTAAGGACAGTAACCAATTCAGAGTATTTAATTATGGATTAAAGTGATCAAACTTGTATAATTCAGAGAAAAAAAAAACCCTCACATGGAACATCAAGAGTCACACACTTGTGTGTTGCTCAGGAGCTAGCAGTGTTTCTCCTCTGCTCAGCCACTATCCACTGAAGCCACATTCCAAATACACACCACCTATCATCCAGCAGATCTGATCCTGTGGCACCAAAATGCCTCAACAGCACCCAGGAGCCACAGAAGCTCCAGAACTGAACAGGCCCAGGAAGCAGCACAAAGTATGGCACAGATGAGATCCTGTCATGCATGACCACTGCCAAAGGAATGACCAAATTGGGGGGGGGGGGGAAGGGGGGGGGAGAGAGAGAGAGAGAGAGTGTGTGTGTGTGTGTGTGTGTGTCGAAATTCTATTAGATCAAATACTACCTGAAATTATTGACATAAAGACTTAAACGTAATGGGATTTGTTTTCACAAGATTTAACTTTTCTCTGTGGAAAACATAGCAACACGGCAACAGGGAATATTACTGAAGTTTCCCAAAGGCTTGCATAGGATTTGAAAAAGTTGGGGGAAGAATGTAACCCTAAAAGCTTAACTGATTTCCAAACACTTGCAAATACCTAATTACAGATCCTGTGAAGCTTAACCTTGGTAGTGTTAAATGTTAGCTAGAATGTCACAAGGCCAGTCCTTAGGGACAGTGTGACACATGTGTCACCTTGACCACTAGATGAGTAAGCAGCACCATGTGGTGTTTTCAGACTTTTGAAATCTCTGAAACAAGCTCCTTTTCTCTAAAGAAAAAAAGGGGGGTGCTGATGGGGTAACACCTACACGAGACAATCACCCAAAGGACCTGTAGTATTATTGGAGCTACTTACCAATGAAATCCACTGATTCATCCAACCACGGCAAAATTTTCTCACAAAAGCTGTCATTCACAGGCACACGCAGGAAATGAGACTCAGGGATAAAGTCAGGCTTTGGACAGGTGCTGCTGGCATTTAACACATAACCAATCCCATTCTGCTGCATTAGCTCCTACGGAGAGAAAGAGCAGTTAGAGTGACTAATGATACAGTAAACGTGATCATTCGGAAAGAGTGAAACTTAAAGCAATGATAAAAATGCCCAGTTTCCTTGAAATAAAATTCATTCAGATCAGTGAAGTCCAAAAACCCAGCCAAAAGACATCAAGAGACAAGTTTAAAGCAAAAAAGAAAAAAATTTTAAGAACAGAGGCTACTGAAAATGGTGTGCCCACACATCATTAATATAGTCAACCCTCTATAATCTTATTACTAGAGAGAGAAGTGGAACAAAGAATGCAAAATCAAACCGTTTATATGACTTTAGAATATATGGACACACATTTTCTTCCCACACAGAACATGCTAGTTCTCTAAAATACAGTTCTTTCTAGTCATTCTTCTCATTTTAAATATTCTCTCTGAAGGCTGCACTTATTTCTATAGCTTTAATTATCAGTTCTATATGCTGATGCAGGGGTGTGTGTGTGTGTGTGTGTGTGTGTGTGTCTCTTAAATTTCCAACCTATATCTCCAGCTACTACTGGATATCAGGATGTTCCACAGGCCCTTCACATTTAAAATGTCAGAAACTAAACATATTCTCTTTCTCCCTTTTCTGCCCCAACTCCTGCTTCCTCTCTGTAATCCCAAAATTGGTTTAGGGTAACAACATCCAGCCAGCCAGCTGAGCTTGAAAATAAAATGGGGCTCCTTTCTCTTCCAAATGGCTGCCATGTTCTTTTGGAATCACGTCTTCCATTGATCATCTCTCTATTCCCATTCACTGCCAAGATAACCAAAAACGCCACTGGGAGCTCTTGAAGTGTGCAGTGGTTTTCTCTCTAAACCATGTTCTGAACAATTAGAGGAATCCTGGTTATGATTAGCCCCCGCTGGGTGCTTTATCCATATTGTGTCTCATTTCCTGCTCCTGTCCCTCCTCCGAAAGACACTCTTCCCACTTTTCCTACTTTGTTTAACCTCATGTATGAACCCACTGATGCATAATTAACCATTTAGGCCTCTGCTTCCAAAGTACTTTGTTCACCACATTAGTTAAGCACCCAGCATAATGTGTTATCATTAACAGATAATTCTCATCTCCCCCGTTATGTAATGAAGTAATACGTGAGATCTTGGGCCAAGTCTTGCCTGTTTTTGCACCTTTACCCCAGGTATAGAGTTGCACTCAAGATGAATCTGTTCAACTGACATCCACCCACCATTTGGCAGGCCAGCTCACACAAGCCCCCTTCATTTAGTCACACCCCCCCCCCCCCCCCCCCGCTGCCTCTCAGGAGATGTTCCAAGTCTGGAATAATTAGCTCAGTCTAAGCAATCTTGATCATTTCTTCCTTCTCTTGGAATACTACCTTTTCTACAAATCTTTTCCAACTACCTGAAAGAAAATTGGCAATTTTCTTCCTATATTACCCTTCTGAAACATGCCAGTTCCCTGATCTCTTCATTCACCACATAGACACAATAAATATACTTTATTTTACATAAAAGGTGAATGGTGGCCAGGCACAGTGGCTCACACCTGTAATCCCAACACTTTGGGGGGCCAAGGCGGGCGGATCACCTGAGGTCGAGAGTTCGAGGCCAGCCTTACCAACATGGAGAAACCCCATCTCTACTAAAAATACAAAATCAGCCATGAGTGATGGCCCATGCCTATAATCCTAGCTATTCAGGAGGCTGAGGCAGGGCAATTGCTTGAACCTGGGAGGCAGAGGTTGCGGTGAGCCGACATTGTACCACCGCACTCCAGCCTGGTCAACAAGAACAAAACTCCGTCTAAAAAAAAAAAAAAAAAAAAAAGGCGTGGGGAATGGCATAAATCCAGATTGTGTGTGCAACCATCTCTTATCTCTGAGATGACAACGTCAATAAACAGCTTTCAAATTAGGTAGGTTTCTTAGATTGGGCCACACCCTTCAGCTATCCCAGAGCCCAAGTCTTCCAGTGGTCTCTCATGCTTCTGTGAGGTTAACTGCCACGCTATGTAGATCTTAATCCTTTAACTTTTGTACATGTACAAAGGTTACATTTGTTTTTCTACGGGTGAACCCAAGCTGAGTTTATCTAGCACTATCTGATCAACAACAGGGTGCAGAAACTGGTTCAGGATCACCCATTAAGAACAGAAGTGGGTCATTGGAATTAAGTCAGCCTTTGAGGACTTTCTCATCAATGATCCTTTAAGAAAAAAAAATGTTTTTTCTCCTTTCCACCAATGATACTACAGATACGTTAAATTAAAAGTATAGTAATATCCCTTTCCACTCAATTCAGTAATAAAGATACTACAGAACTCTGAGAAATGGGGTGACTCTAATAGTGTTATATACTGTACACAATCAAAAGGAAATTCACTAAGAGAAAACAAGTTGCAAGTCAATAATGACTGTCGTTTGATTTTCCATTAAAAAAAAGAACAATGTACCCTTCTGACAAGTAATCTAATAGCCTACATTTTATAGAAACTACAATTTAATCAACCTATGTTAAGTCAAAAAATATTTACTGAGCACCTTTGTTAGAGACCTATTAACAATACAATGACACATGGCACCTATTAAGAAAATGATATCTAACATTTAATGACTGCCTCCGGTGTGCCAGATACTGTGTTAAGCATTTAAAGGGATGGTTTCATTTAATTCTCACAACTACCCTTTGATGTGGGTTCTCATCCTCATTTTACAAATGAAGAAACTGAGGCATGGCCGGGTGCAGTGGCTCATGCCTGTAATCCTAACACTTTGGGAGGCCGAGGTGGGTGGATCACCTGAGGTCGGTGGATCACCTGAGATCAGGAGTTCAAGACCAACCTGGCCATCATGGTGAAACCCCATGTTAAAAAAAAAAAAGTGAGGCTTAAGTTCCTTCTAAGGCAAATTAGATGGAGCAATAAAGTAACTAGCTACATAAATACATTTTTTCTTTAAAGACACGGTCTCCCTGTTTCCCGTGCTGGAGTGCAGTGGTACAATCACAGCTCATTACAGCCTTGACCTCCTGGGGTCAAGTGATCCTCCTGCCTCAGTCTCCTGAGTTGCTGGAACTACAGGCATGTGCCACTGCTCCCTGCAAATTTTTAAAAATTTTTTTGTAGAGACAGGCTCTTGCTATATTGCCCAGGCTGGTCTCAAACTCCTGGCCTCAAGCAATCCTCCTACCTTGGCCTCCCAAAGTGCCTGGATTACAGGCATGAGCTACTACACACAGCTAGTAAAATATTTTAAATGCAAAATGAACTGAGAAAAAAAATAAATAATTTTGATGGCCTTATTTATAGAATTTTTAGCTTAAAAGATCTATTGATTAAATCTACTATCCAGCTGCTACCTGAAAATATTTTTGGAATACTAAGATGGGACTTGATAAACAATCACAACTTTTAAAACAAACCAAAATAATACCCAAAATACTTAATATAATTTGGCTACTAAGTTAAATATCGTAAATAAGCACCTTCTCATCTGGATTGGTAGTCAGTAGAAAAAGCTAAGGAGGAAATCATTACAAATGATACATACATGCCTGAAACATTATTTTAACTTAAATAAATGTACAGAAAGACACGAATTTCTGATGCAGCACCACAGCTTTTGCATCCTAGGTTAGCTGACTGGAGTTCTTAAGCAAATCATACCTAAACACATCTACCACTTACAGTTTTCATTTTTAAAAGAAGAGCAAGAACTTGTAAAACACTATCAGTGCCAAAGGCTTCTAGATTACTCCTGTCCCCAAATACTTTATAGCTCCCTTTTTCCCACCTAATTTGACAAAAATATATATATAAAGCAATCTGTCATTCCTGAATCTTTCCAAAACACCTAACTGAGGTCATAGAACATCTCTTTATTCACATTTTATCGGTGTCATATTTTAATTAACGTACATAATTATAATAACAAGTCGAGTGGCCTAAACAGGTTCGAGAACAGACACAACTGATTCTTGGTAAGTATACTGTTCAAATGGTAGAAGCAGACATGCTACAGCAAAGAGCCTGTTCATGCAGCAGGCACTGACCTGTCAAAGACATGGGGAAGAGAGGGTGTGGAATCTGTAGTCAGTTAAGAAAGTTTCTAAAATTTCATACAACTGTTGTTAGTTTGCTCTCTTGAATTTTTTTTTATTTTAATTTTTTTTTTTTTTTTTTACAAACTTAAATATAACTGGCTGGGAGGGGATCTTAATTTTTGTTGGTGTTTTTAAGAGACAGGGTCCCACCATGTTGTCCAGGCTAACCTCACACTCCTGGATTTGAGTGATTCTCCCATCTCAGCCTCCCAGGTAGCTGGGATTACAGGTGTGCACCACCATACCTGACCCATCTTATTGTTTGTAATGGTGAAACTGAAATGGAACTATAATTATGAAGAATGAGTCTGACTCTTTTGTGGAATAAGGATTGCTTTTCTTTATAGATACGTATCAATGACTTCTCACTAAATTACAAAGAGATATAATGCATTCAGTTTAGTTTCAGCATGCGGTATAAAACATGCACAACTGAATATTTACTCTGTCCTGTAATTAAACATCATAATCTTTCAGCTTCCAGAGAGCAGTCATCTTATGCTGTTAAATATTTAGCTCAACTTTGTGCTAAGTCTGCAAATACATATTTTCTACTGATTAGATAATCCTTTTTCGCTGACCTTCAAAGATCCTTCCAACACCTTGGCCTCACAGTTCTTTGAGCTCCTCATCTTGGCCACTCACTCCCATGAGATCTAGCCTGGTCTCTGTCATTACCAATTACCACAAACCCTCCATAATCTAGATTTCATGCACCCTACTCTTAGACAACTCTTCCACTTTCCAGCTCACTCTCTCTTATACTACCCTACACCCAGAGTCTGTAAACCCCTGTAGGACCTACAGTCTGATGATCTTACACTTTTTTCTGTCCTTCACCCCCATGACGTCTGTCTTCCTTCCTTGCCCAACTTAAATTGTATAATCAATCATGACAATCACTCCTTTGCT